TTGAATCCAGTAGCTCAATTATTTTAGAACTTTTTTTGTATGTCCTTTGTGTGATTTGCATATATGTAGGCTTCAGTATCTCTTTCTACTTGGCAACTTTCTCACCGAGAAGCTTACTGTTGAGGCCTTGTTCTTTAGTACCACTTAGGGAGAAGGAAACAAACAATTAGAACATAATGTCAAACCATACAAGATACAGAAATATACTTAATGTCCATTAAAGCCACTTATACATCATTAGTGACCACAGCTCCATGGAATACTAATGTAGAATAGTGTTTTTTCCCCTGTTGCTGAGATTAAAAACATTCTGACAAAAAAGTAACTTAGGAGAGGAAAGAATTTATTTGGCTTATATTTCTAGGTAATAAGTCATCGAGGGAAGTCAAGGCAGGAACTCAAGTAAGAAATTGAAGGAGAATCCATGAAAAAAAAATCTGCTTGCTGGCTTACTGATAGATTGGTTCCTACTTTGCTAGCTTCCTTATCCAGCCCCAGGATCATCTCCATAGGTATAGTACGGCCCACAGTGGGCTGGACTCTCCTACACCAAGTAACAATGAAGACAGCCCCTCACAGACATGCCTACAGGCCAGTCAGTTCTGTGTAACTCCTCAGTCAGTGGCTCTTTTCAGATGATTCTAGGTGTGTCAGGTTTACAATGAAAACCAACTAGGAAAAATGTTTTCTGATGTGTAAGAAGGAAATGAATGAGATGAAGAAAGGAGGAAGGGAAAGAAAAATAGAGAAGCAAAGTTAAACAAAAATTAGAAGTTAAACAAAAAATAGAAGGATGTTTTAGAGTGAAAGAAAGCAAGAGGTTAGAAAAGAAAATGAAAATGAAAAAAAGGTTTTTTAAATAATAAGAATGTTTAGAAAAAATTAGAAAAATGTAAGAAGGGGAATAAAAATAAAAAGAGGTTTACTGTTTGGAAAAAACAACAGTAGCAATTACTATAAGTGTAGTAGAGAGAAAAGCAAAAGGATGGTCCAATAATGAAAAATATGTAAATAAAATATTTTTAAAACTACAAGGAAGCAAAACTACTGTTAGAAATCTAGTAAAAAGGAAAAGGGGAGACCCCAGGGGGTGGAGTTGGGGACGAGAAAGGGGAGATGAGGTGGTGGAGCGGCTTCCTGTGGGTTGGTGGCTGTGTGCTTGGGGCACTGAAGAGCATCTGTTGAGTTTGTGGGCTCTTGTATTTCTTTGTTTATGCTGGTGCTGACTTTTTGGAGGATTTTCCTGTTTTCCGTCTTTCAGGGAGCTGAGTTCATTTTGACTTCTTTTCTGTGAGCACCTGCCTGTTTTTCCTGTACTTTTCAGGTGTCCCATGGTTACCTCTGTGAGTTTCTGACATCCTTCTCTTTCTCTGTTTGGGATAGAATGTTGTTTTCTTACTATGATCCTTCTCTTTCATTTGGTCACATGGAGGAAGCTTCTGGTGTGACACTTGGCACAGAAGTTGGGAGATCACTTCCTACAGCATATGTTGTAGTTTCTTGCAGACTCAAATGGCTCACATGAAGATGATTAGTTCACACTCACAGAAGTCATTATGATACCAATAGGAGGCAACTGAAATTGTTCAGGCTTATAATGTGTGCTACAGTTCATTTTACACACTTATGTTACTGAATCTTTACATTTGTATACATTTCTCTTGAAATGGTATTGTGTATGGTCAGTTAATGTTTATGTGCCTCTGTTTGTTAAATTTTAACTTTTTATAGGTTTATTTGTATTTTGTGGTAGTAAATGATAAAAAACAGACCATTATCTGTTACTGCATTATTAATTCAAGATAGGCGTTTTTAGCTGTTACTGTTTAAAATTATGATAAAACAGCTTAAATTTGTGATATATGGAGAGATAGTTTATTTTTACATACTTTGAGACCATTACATAGCCGCAAGGAAAAACATGGAGCCTCTGAAATACAGCAATGTAAAAAACCTACTTTTAAAATTCATTAATTTTTAATGAGCATACAAAGTAATGTTTCCTTATTACATTTTCATACAGTCTATCACCTTTTGTAGTACTTATATCAGGGTGTGATCTTGATTTTTTTTTGTTTTTCCTAGATTGTATCTTAAATGAGCTTTAGGAAGACAGACAGTTATGATTTTACTCATGAGTATAGTTTCTGGTGCATAGTAGGGACTCATGGAGTATGCGTTGAATGCATGAATGAAGGTGTTCTAATGAGAGAGTATATTGTGCCTAGTAAGGCATGGCAAATAAACTGGGTTCCATTTGAATTATAGTAAAAACGATTTTAGTCTTAAGTTTTTAGTTGAATCTGATTTTTATGTATGCTTTTATATATACTGTTTGAGGTATTTATTTATTTATTTATTATTTGTTCTGTTTTTCGATACAGTGTTTCTGTGTGGTTTTGGAGGCTGTCCTGGAACTAGCTCTTGTAGACCAGGTTGGTCTTGAACTCACAGAGATCCGCCTGCCTCTGCCTCCTGAGTGCAGGGATTAAAGGTGTGTGCCACCACCACCTAGTGAGGGATTTATTTTGGAGGGACTGTCTATAACCTGCTGATGTGGAGTGAGATAGTAAGGATGACATCTAGTTTCCTTTGCTTAAGGTGGTAGAAAGTGGCTTAGTTACTAAAATGAGAAATGTGGCTAAGAAACAATTATAGAAAGTTCATTAGAAATTCTGTTTGGTGGGCTGCAGAAATGACTCAGCGGTTATGAGCACTACTCTTCCAGAGGTCCTGAGTTCAATTCTCAGCAATCACATGGCAGCTCATAGCTGTCTGTAACTCCAGTCCCAGAGGCTCTGACACCCTCACACAGACATACATGCAGGCAAAACACCAATGCACATGAAATAAAAAAAGAAGAAATTCTGTTTGGTTACAGTTGGTTTAAGACACTGATAAAACTTCGGAAATGACAAGAGATTTGGATTCCAAGTTAGGAACTTAGAGGAAACGTTTGTGTTGGCATAGAAATCTGGAGGACTGTGAACATAGAGACACATAGGAGCTCTTCATTCATCACAGTGAGATGGTGCCTCCAATGAGTGTGGCAAGAGAAAAGAACTTCCACCATTTAGAAATCAGATAGTAGAAAAATATAACAGAGGCTTGGAGAAGGATTGCCTGAAGAGTGATACTTGGATTTTATGATGCTTTGGCAAGTAAGGAAGCAAAGTGCAGCTTAAAAGACGAAAAGACATGAACTGCTAACTCATGCTGGAGTTTCATAAACACAGAACATATAAAGTAAAATAATCACAAGATAAATGAAGGGTTTTACAAAGAAAAATGATTTACTTATATAACAGCAGTAAATGATGGATAGTGCTGGGATATACTCTTTTTTGTTTGGCCATTCTTGGGAATTTTGAATTTTTTTTTTGAAAAAGATGAAAAGTAAATTTTAAATGTGCAATATGAACTTGAATTTTTTCTTTTCCCAAGATTAATGGTTTTAGCGCCACCTAATGGCAGAAGGGAGCATTGCAGCCACATTTATATGTGCAGCAAAAAGTGATGTATTTGAAAGACCATTTCTGGGGATTTTTGTTTATGAACTGTCCATGGATTGCAAGGTCTTGTGTTTTGTGCTCTTCAGGCCAGCCTGCCCATTCTGCCCTTGCCACATTACCCATTTATTCACAGTGCATGTTGTTTAATCTGAGGTGCCTTTTTTTTTTTTGTCTTTTAGGTTTTAGCTCATGTATTTCCCTCAAAGAGTTCTCTTTTCTACCAACTTAAAGTTACTCTTATACTCTGCACCATTTCCTCTGTCATTTGCTGTTTTACTTTCTTTATATCTTTTAGATTGGGAATGATCTTTCTCTCTCTTTGCCTCTCCCTCTTTCCCTCTCTTCCTCTCTTCTCTCTCCCTTTCCCCTCCCTCTTTCTTCCTCCCTCCTCCTCCCATCTCTTTTTACCCTCTCCCCTTCCCCCCTCCCTTTCTCTCTCTAATCTTTTCTCCCATTGTCTAGTATTTAAGCTTTGGGACAGCGCCTATCTGCCCAGCCTTCTTCAGTCATGTAACCCAGGATTAGGTTTAATGTCTGTTATGTATTATATAATATCCTCAGTCAAAATTAGTTGTATGAATGAGTGTATGAATATTTAGACATTTTGAGTTTCTGTGAGACTATAGATCTATCAAGAAAATGGAATTTCATTGTATTTGATTATTGAAACTTAACTTGGTATAGGAATACTATGTATGAAAGCTTTCTTTTTTGAGTGTTTATATCTCTGGAAAAGAAAGACACATGTGTTAGGGTGTTGAATTTTTAAGGAATAGTTATTTAATTATTTTTTAAATTTCATTTTGCATTCCAACTAAAGTTCTCTCCCCATGTTTAATTTTATATTAATTTGTCAATTTCAGTAATCTCCCAAATATTTTCAAAGTATAGTACTTGACCTTTAGGAGACAAGTTTTTTGAAAGCATTTGGATTTGATTAATTGAATGTCTACATCTGTATTTTATAAGACAGGATTTTGCTATGTTTGCCTTTCTTGCTGTGTTGAACTTCTGGGCTTAAAGGTTTCCTATCTCAGACCTGAGTAGCTGAGACTATATGCGTCTCTCTCTCTCTCTCTCTCTCTCTCTCTCTCTCTCTCTCTCTCTCTCTCTCTCTCTCTCTCTCTCTCTCTCTCTCTCTCCCCCTTTCTGAATTTTCTAGTTACATGCTTACTTTCTTTCTCTATTTGTTGAAACAAATGAATAAAACCTCCAGTATTTCTTAACAAAATAGTTAAGTAGAAGTGAGTTTGTTTGGTTGAGGTAAGGCTGCTTTTCAGGTAACAGTATCCTTTTAGTCTGAAAGTTAAGAGTGGAGAGAATGCATTTCTACCTTGTGACCTAGTCTAAGAAGACAGCCTCCTAATTTGTAGGCAGTCTGAATGCCAGGATTCTTTTTCATATGAACCATTTTATTATATAGTTTTCTTACTTCATTTTTAAACTAGTTTGTTTTTAATCAATTTTTGCATTTTATCCATTCTCTAGCTTTGCCAGGTGGATGTGGGAAGAGAAGTTTGCAGAACTGAAATGGAGGTCAGAGCTTCATTACAGAAGGTTAGTGGGTCATCTGATTCTGTGGCCACTGAGAACAGTGAAGAATTTGTTCTGGTTCCTCAGCACACAGATGATACTTCTACAAAGGATGATGGAAAGCCACGACTGAAGGTATTGTTTTTTTCTTTTTCTAATATGGTACTATTTTTCATTAATTTGCTTTTTCCTTTTTGACTATTTGGAGCTCATCTGAGGATGAAAACTGAAGGGTTTCTTAAAGTATAGATATGGATAATAAAAATCAGTGTTTGATTGATTCTTTTAGATGATTTTGATAATAATAAAAATATTTAATGCTTTATCATCCAGGGACTAATTATTTGGTTTCACTTTAAAGGTTTTTTAAAATTCTCTCTTGGTTATTTACCTTATAATAAGAAATTCTTGGAGGAAGAAATAGAAGAAAAATTATAGAAAAAGTAATGCATGAATTAGACTTACTGGTTAAAACTTACATAAATTTATTTGATCGGTTTTATTTGTCTTCTGAGTTTTAGTTGAAAGATTTTCCTGTTATGGATTTTATGCTTTATTTTTTTTATTTTTTTATTTTTTTGGTTTTTTTCGAGACAGGGTTTCTCTGTGGCTTTGGAGGCTGTCCTGGAACTCACTTGGTAGTCCAGGCTGGTCTCGAACTCACAGAGATTCACCTGCCTCTGCCTCCCGAGTGCTGGGATTAAAGGTGTGCGCCACCAACGCCCGGCGGATTTTATGCTTTAAATTAGGTAGTGAGAGTGTGGTTGATGGTTTAACAGTTGACTGATTAGTTTAAAAGTGTATATCTTACTTTTTGGCAGTTGAATTTTCATTTGGATAACTTCCTTCTCTCGGTCTCTGTCTCTGTCTTTGTATCTGTCTCTGTCTGTCGCTCTCTCTATTAAATTTTGGATTGCCTTTTGTAAGTCAAAGAATAGGAAGCAAGAACCCAGGCATATGTGCATGGGAATTGGTAACCATTCTTTTTAAGCAGGAGTGGAAATAACCAACTGCTATTTTGTTCATGACTGTGCTTAATATTATGTGTGGCGTCAGAATGCATCAGTGAGTCAGAAATACATTGTAAAAGAGATTATTAAATACTTGTATTATGTCTAGTATATAAGTTCTATTCAGACAATCTCAGTGCCTTATTTTTTGACAACTGTATTTGCATTATTGTGCTTAAAATATTAGGCTTGTACCTCATCTATTTTTCAGAAGAAATATAACTAAGAAACTAGCAACACTCTGGTAGGTAATGAAGAATTTATTAAAAAATTAAGAATGTTTATAGGATGATGCTAAGAAATTGTTCAAAAGATAATTAGGATGTACCATATTTACACATACATTTTCTTTTCAAGATACATAAAATTAAGATGGTCTGATTTTCTGTGTGTGTGTACCATGTGTGTGATATAGTATGTTGTGTGGAGGTCCAAAGACAATTTTCTCCAGTTGGTTCTCTCCTTTGACCACAAGGAATCTGAACTGTAGGTAGCAATTGCTTTTACCCACTGAGCCATCTCACTGGTCTTATGTCAGTAGGATCTTGTATCAAATGTAGTTTGAAAGTACCTGCAATGTTTTATGAAGAATCCTTTTGTGGAACTAATAAGCCCCCTTCATTCAGCTGATTTTATCATTCAGGATTTCCGTGTGTTATGAATATGTGAAATTAGGTATCACTGGATATAGTCTCAGTTTTTACTGACTATATATTTGAATTTCTAGATCTTAGTTTCTCAAAATGCAGTATTTTTAATGAATTAAGCCCTATAATTAAGAGGATTGAAAAAGAATTGTCTTGTTCTGCCTATAGATAGCTTCCAATGGTGATGAACAGTTGGAAAAAGCCATGGAAGAGATTTTGAGAGATTCTGAGAAAGGACAAAGCAGCCTACTTGTTGACTGTCAGGGTTCCAGTGAGATTTCAGACTACTCGTTTGGAGATGTTCCAGCCAGCCAAACCAATAAGCCATCTCTTCAGCTAATTTTGGATCCATCTAATACTGGTAATGTTCCAGATACTTAAAGATGATATGAGGAAATGGAATAAAGAGACAAAAACTAGAAAATTTTTAGTTTAGCATTGTCTTTACTGTTGACAAAATGATTTGTGTGTGTATATGTCCCTGTGTCAATACAGGCATATGCCACATGTCTGTGCACCACAAAGTCAGAGAACGTTGGCAAGGAAAGACTTTTATGTTCTTGTGTTTGAGACAGGGTTTCTCTATGTAGCTCCGGCTGTCCTGAAACTCGCTCTGTAGACCAGGCTGATGTTGAACTCACAGAGATCCACCTCCCTCTACTGCCTGAGTGCTAGAATTAAAGGCATGCACCACCACTGCCTGGCTAATCATTGAAATTCTTGAATATGGACATTTATACATTTAACCTCTTGGCAGTTAACCCTCTTTCTTTTCCACATTAATTCTCTTGTATTCCTGGAATTTACTTAACAAAGTGTTAGACATTTGCATACTGTCTCCAGGTTGAGTAGAGTCTTTCTTGGGTCCTTTCAGTTAGTTCCTTCACGTGTCATTTTTCTGAAGCTGAAGGAATTTCCTGCAACAACTTTTCTTCTGTAGGAAAAAAAATCTCCTGCTTAATAACTTTCCAGAGAATATTTCATTTTACTTTACTCGGATTTAGAATATTTTATTCCTTTTATTTTTCTACTTTGTTAAAAAAATTAAAATCCTTATTCATATTTGTAATTATTTAAGTCTTATTTACTGATTTTGTTGTCTATAATTTTTGATCCATTTATCCACATTGTTTCGTGTTAGAGTCTATAGTTATGAATATTTGTTACACAAATTTGTAGAATATTTATATTCTTTCAAAAAAATTCCCTCATTTTTAGAAATCTAGTTGCAGAAATGTCAATAAACTTCCCTATGTGTGATGTTTGCTAGTCACTGACACATGATTTTACTACAGGACCTTGTTTATTGTTTCATATGTTTAAGGTGACAGAAATACATAACCACATATGTGCATGTAATAATTTAAATATAGCTTACATAAATAAACTCAATGACTTAAATTATTTATAGTTTTAAAAATGAATTTTTTTATCTTTTTTACATGCAGGTAGAGATTCTCTAATAATAATGAGTTTTTAAAAAAATGTATGTAGAAATATATATATACCCCCTCCTGTTATTCATTATATAGAAAGGAAAATTGGGTGAAGCAATTATCAAAGTCGATTGGAAGAAAAGCAGCTTTATTAGAATACTTAATAAATAGTTCACACAAGCTAGCTAGTCAGTGATAAGAAAAATGAAGAAATGTCTGTTGTTTGTGGAATGTGTACTAGTGAGTTGATTGGTTTCATTTTTTTTTCCAGAAATTTCCAAACCCAGACCGTCTTCTCCAAGTGGACTTCCTGAAGAAGACAGTGTTTTATTTAACAAATTGACTTACTTAGGATGTATGAAGGTTTCTTCCCCACGTAGTGAAGTAGAGGCCTTACGGGCAATGGCAACCATGAGAGCTTCCAGTCAATGCCCCTTTGCTGTTACACTGTATGTGCCCAATGTTCCAGAAGGTTCTGTGAGGTAAACTTTCTTTTTGTTTTTGTTAAGGTATGATTAAGTATTCTGAGTGGGGGTGAGTATGTTATATCATGAATCAGATTTAGGACTGAACTCTGAGTTTACTTATACTTTCTAGACTTAACAATGTAAATTAAAAAGTACCTCGTGTTCTCGTTTGTAGAGGGTATTTTCAAATTATTAATCTAGTAAGTTAAGTACTAAGTACGTCCTAATAACATTGAAATTTTACATTTTTTAAAAAGATTTATTTATTTTTATTTTATGTGTATTAGTGTTTTGCCTGCATGTTTGCCTGTGTGGGAGTGCCAGATCCCTTGGAACTGGAGTTACAGACAGTTGTGAGCTACCACGAGTCCTTCGGAAGAGCAGCCAGTGCTCTTAACTACTGAATCGTCTTCCCCAGACCCTAAATTTACAAACTTTTTATAAAAATGCCTTTAGTGTCTTAGGAAAACATTGTGTTAATGTGGTCTTTATGTGGAATGTGTGTGGGGATACGAAGGTGTGTATGGAGGCAGAGGACAGCCATTGGTGCTATTCTGTAGATGCTGCCAGCCTGGTCTACAAAGTGAGTTCCACGATAGCCAGGGCTATACAGTGAAACCCTGTCTTGAAAAACAAAACAACAACAACAACTCACATAATGAGTTTTAGGACAGCCATAGCTATGAAATAGAGAGACCTTATCTCAAACCCCCCCCCAAAACCCAACCGAAAATTCTTTGACAATTTAATGCATGTATGTGCTGTTTCAGACATTTTCACCCATCCTTCATTATTCTTGCCTAGTCCCCTCCATTCTTCTGCTGAAACCTTTTCTTTCAACAGTCCTTCTACTTTGACATCTTTTCCCCCTTTACTGGCATTGCTTTTAATAGAACAACAAAAAAACTGTTGGAATGAATGATTGGTGTGTGTGTGTGTGTGTGTGTGTGTGTGTGTGTGTGTGTGCGCGCGCGCGCGCGCGCGCACGCATGCGCACGTGTGTGTATGATATAGAATAGATATGATATATAGTTATATATGTATATATAACTAATGTTGGAAGGTATGTGAAATGATTTTGTGTATGTGTTTGTATATATAAGCTTTTCAGTAACATGAAGATAATTTATTTACTTGTATTAATAACCATTTTGTGATTTTAAGATAGTCATGTCAGATTGGCATGATTTGCTCTTTGATAGTTGATATTTTAATCTCATTTTTTATTATTGCAGAATTATAGACCAGTCAAGCAATGTGGAGAGAGCATCTTTCCCAATTTATAAGGTGCTATTCTGTGCACGTGGACATGATGGGACAACAGAGAGCAATTGCTTTGCATTTACAGAGAGTTCTCATGGTTCAGAAGAATTTCAGATACATGTTTTCTCCTGTGAAATTAAAGAGGCAGTAAGTATGATACAATGTAGCAATTTTAGACAGAGTTGAATTAGGATATTTTTGAATTTTTTTTTTTTTTTTTGGTTTTTACGAGACAGGGTTTCTCTGTATTGTTTTGGAGGCTGTTGGTCCAGCCTGGCCTCGAACTCAGAGAGATCCGCCTGCCTCTGCCTCCCGAGTGCTGGGATTAAAGGCGTGCGCCACCACCGCCCGGCTATTTTTGAATTTTAATTGTATTAGTTTACTTGAAGCCATTTCAAAGGCTTTGAAAGTAGGTTTGTGTGGGCAAGTTTTCAGATATGCTTGCTTTTGAAAATTGAAATTGTTAACAGAAAATACTAAAAGCAGCACCATTCTAGTTTTTATCATGCATTGTGATCTCATAATTTTAATTATAGATGCTTTTATGACCACTACTCCCAGAATTCATAGAAACGTAGACCTTTGTGAGTTTAATATGAAATGTAATTGGGATGCTATTTCTTATGTCATGGTAATTATTTTGCTTTACACTAAAATATACATGTGGAAACACATATTTTATATTATAACTATAGAAATTCTCTGTGAGAATTCATGCCTTAATCAAACTTCAAGTTGTTAGTATTGCTTTTTCAGGTAAAGCCTTCATCCCAAAGTTCATGACTGTACTGTGTACTCACTTCTTTCTGAAAAGCTGTGATTGGCAAGAGTGAGTGGGTCCAAGTGTGCTGATAGTGTATCTGGCATGTAGTAGACTTGAATATAAGTATGTTGAAGGAATACATCGATTTTTGTGAATGAGAGGACTGTTTGTGATCTTTACACACTCCACTATAGAGGTGGGGAAACAGATTGGTAGAGTCCTGGCATTTCATGTTAACAGCTGTCACTTAATACACCTGTATGGTTATGAGATCACTGGAGCTGAACAGCAAGGGGATGAACTCTGAAGAATTGAAGAACCCGCTGCTTGAGGGATGGAAATACTGTCCTAGGAGGAAACTGAGAAGGAACCTTGTTGCAAGCATTTCTGTAACTGATGGTATGAACTCTTTTGGGACTATAGCATTTATTTATTTATGAATGTAGGAGATGTTCTTTATTTAAGAGCTTTTAATAATGGGTGGTCAATGGGAAAAAAGTGGGAAATTCTTGACTTGATAATTTTGGAGATACCACTATCTATTATATCTCTAGACAGTATACTGCTGGTTGTAAGAAAGTGGTTTTCATCTATTAATTTTTTAAAAACATATTTTGGAAAATGTTTTGTTGTCAGTCATTGATGATGAAAATATATTGTTTGAAAAAGGAGACACAGTACTATGGCCATTAGATCCTATTGGGAGAGAATATTTCTAAATGTTGAGTAACCCAGTGTATATAGAGAGCCTGTCAGACATTGTATGAAGCATCTACTTGATTGCTGCTCATAACATCCCATGGTATGGATAGGATTTTTGTAGGCAACTGACTTTATATTTGCCTGGGACAATGTAATATCCTTTCATTTGCTTTAAAAAATGTTCTTATTTAGATGATAATTTGTGTGGTTACCTTTTGCTTGACCCAAGACAAAGTGAATGAATAAAAGAGATGGGCTTCAAATTGAAGCCTTTAGTTCAGAAGAACTATATATTTTCAGCAACAACTTTCTTGTTGTTTAAATATTGTGGACACAGATGCTTGCTGCCAAGTCTGACAACTTTAGTTTGATCTCTGGCACCTATAAGGTGGATCCATCCTCTTTCTTCTACCCACATGTACAGCACACACAAACATACACACGATGTAACAAAAGAAAAATATAAAAAATATATGTAAATTTTTGTTTTTTCATTGTGTTTTGAAAGTGGGTTTATCAGCTGCATAGCTTGCATTTCAGTTATACTTGTGATTTACTAGTCTTCATAGAATCTGTTAGCATCTTCCTCACTTTATCCAAAAAATTATAATTTTATTTTGAGTTAATTTGAAATCTTTTAGTTACATTTACTGACCATCTAGTTATCTATTTTCCAGGAGTTCCCTGTTTTGTAGTAAAGGTACAAATACTATTTGATTTTTTTTTTGGGGTGGGCACAACTAACTTAGGGATAAAAGGACAGTCTTATTATTTATGTGTGATGTGAAACAATGCCATTAATTATTTTCTTTTTTCTTTGTTTCTCCCTAAGGTTCCTGCATGGTACCTGAAGGTTTTTCTGCATAAGGGAAGAAGATGCTTCCTCAAGTGATAACAGCATGGCTGCTACCAGCTATTCCCATGATACTCTTATTTCACCACGAATCTCTTCAGGCAGCAGATACCAACAGTGGAGAAGGGGAACCCAGGGAGGGTGATGGCTCTATTGGACACTGTGATATCAGGATACATTTGACTTGTTGTCCTGGGTAGTCCCTCTGTCGGACCCTATTGAACTGAATCTTTATAAACATGGCAAAATAATTGGACAGTCCATCTAGACATATTTTAATGTCTGTGATCTTTGTACAAGGAAAATGATGCAAGTTCTGCTAAGGTATTGCAGACAAATAAGATCTGAGAAATAGTGAAAAAAGATAAGGAGGTACTCGTGTTTCTTGTGTCTTTATGGATGTGGTATACAAAGCCTTTAAAAGAATACTTTAAAGTGCCTAGTTAACGCTAAGGTATATCCCCTGACCATTTGTGTGTGAGTATGATATAAGCACCTGTAAGTATTCATTTGGGTGTATATATGAGGGTGTGATACACCTAAGGTCTCAGTTTCCCTAGTTCTAGGATTTACAAGTATCTATGCCCAGCTAAATTGTAATTTTTTCTTCATTTTTGGCCATTTTCAATGATAATACATTCGAGTAACTTGTTAAATTAAAAAAAAAGACAAAAGTTCTTTTCTCTTTTTTTTTAGATAGGGTCTCACTAGATAGTTTTGCTAGTCTGGAACTTACTATATAGCCTATAGAGATCTGCTAGCCTCTACCTCCCAAGTACTGGGATTGAAAGTGCATGCTACCATACCTGGTCATGTGATTGTCTTATATTTTGACATTATTTCTTGAATGAGCATTTCTTTTTCTTTATATCCTTTTTTTTTTTTTTGAGACAGGGTTTCTCTGTATATTCTTAACTGTCCTGGAACTAACTCTGTACACTAGGCTGGCCTCGAACTCATAGAGACCCACCTGCCTCTATGCCTTGAGGACTGCGATTAAAGGCATGTGCTACCACTGCCAGACTCCAATGAACATTTCTTGATAGTATTTCTAGACAATAGATTGTTACATGACTATTAATGGAAAAACTTTATATTTGAAAAAGCAACTGTATTTCAGTAAGTACCTTTGTCATTTAATAGCATCATTTGAATTTCAACTGTGCAATATTTACCAATTTGGAAAATACTGAAATAAAGAAAATAAAGTTACCAAAACTCTACAGTAGTTAAGATTGCAGTATATCTCTGGTTTCAGATGTCTGTGTACCTGTCTACCCCCACTAGTAGCAGGCAGATGCCCAGTTTTGTCTTTGATGTTTTCTGTAAGTATTTTGTATGGAAACAGTTTTCCTGTACTGTTTGTCAATAAACCTTTGTCTTCCACAGAAAAGTACCCATTTTAGGTTACTTTTGTGTTGTATGCTTTAATAATGTGCTATGTATTAGAGTGTTTGCCATGGTATGTATGTTTAATTTACTTTATGTAATTGGTTATATAGTGCTCTAAGAACTGATGTTGATAATCACTGTTTCTTTTTTTTTTTTTTTTGGTTTTTCGAGACAGGGTTTCTCTGTATTGTTTTGGAGGCTGTCGGCCCAGCTCGGCCTCGAACTCACAGAGATCCGCCTGCCTCTGCCTCTCAAGTGCTGGGATTAAAGGCGTGCGCCACCAACGCCCAGCGATAATCACTGTTTCTTAACTTTACCTTATTATTAATCCTTGGGTCACTTTTGTTTTGTTAACTGACTTAAGAATTCACACATAATTTTAACTTTTTTGGTGGAAAAAGCAATTTGTGAGACATGACATTTAATGGGCTACATTATAGTTAAATCTGAAACTTAAGCTAACATTTCTGATTTTGACTTGCCTAATGATTCCTTATTGGCTAAACTAAACACATTTGTATTCATTTTAATGTTTTGTGTTCTTCAATGTATTCACAGCACTAGAATGTTACTTTGTGTACAGAAAATGCTCAAAAATTGTTTAATGAGTAAATTTATTGTTTTAATTGCAAAAGACTTGAGGTCTGTACTTCTTATTAATACCACTTCTTTACTGCTTTTATTATTTCCACTTGTTTATACAGGATCATCAGTGGATAACTAAAATACCACATGAATGTTGTATTATACATATGGTTCTACTGTTTATATTAACTATATACGTTTGCAGGGTATTTCTATAGCGCTGTTAGTGTTAAAATGTTAAGTAGTTGATTTAAGAATTGATTTGATAGTGGAAAAGTAGTTTAGGATAACTAAATAATTGGTGAAAATGTAACTATAAGAGTTTGAAGACATCTGGGCACTGGTGGGGATTAAAAATCCCAGCACTTGGGAGACAGAAGCAGGTGGATCTCTGTGAATCTATAAGAGCTAGTTCCAGGACATCTCCAAAGCTACACAGAAACCCTATCACGACCCCCCACCTCCCCCCCAAAAAAGAGTTTGAAGACAACTTGTTTTAAAACGTAGGGTGTGTGTGTGTGTGTGTGTGTGTGTGTGTGTGTGTGTGTGTGTGTGTGTGTATGCAGGAAAAAGTTAATTCCAGAATATATGAATTAAATAAAAACAGAAAAATGAGGTAGCATATTCCACTTTTTAAAAAAAAATTTTTGAGACAGGGTTTCTCTGTGTAGCTTTGTAGACCAGGATGTCACCACTGCCCAGTCCAGATCAAACTGTGTAGCTTTGTAGACCAGGCTGCCACCACTGCCCAGTCCAGATTAAACTTTTTTAAATACTGAGGCCAGTTGTAGCACCTTGTTTATTTATTATCAAGGCACCACTGAGCTTCAGTTGCACATCAGCAATTTCTTTCATTAAAAGGAATATTTTTGCTTTAAGAAAATTAAAGTATTTCCTAGATTATTATGTTCATTGATGATTATTTAGCTTTCAAATTGAGAAATTTGTTAATAATATTCAGTAAAATCTTAACTTACATTTCCTTGTGTGAGATATTGAAAATAGGACCCTTGTTTAACTCCTCATCCCACCATATTTTTATTGTTCAAACTATGTGTTGATGGACTGAGAGATTGGAAGTTTTTGGTGTTTCTAATGCATGGTTTGGGGTGTTAGTCTGGACACTTATTGAAGACCCAGGAATGAGAATAGCTTTTGGAAAGTGTTGTATTTGTAGTTCTTTACCACTTTGGCAAAATTGTGAGTCATAAACAAGAATGGAAATACAAGTATAATTTCATAGTTACTAGACTGACCCAATGCTAATAGAACAAATTTCACAAAAATCTTTTATATTTTATACTTCGAAACATTGAGTGAAAGCTTTTCAAATCATGTTACCATAAAACACTGTGCTCTGAAAGGGTGTAACTTCAATGCTGTAACTCAGTGTCTAGCTTGTTGAAGCTGAGGGTGTTCTACATAGAAACTGAGGATTTTAGCTAAAACCTTGTTTGTGCATATTCATTGGGAAGATGTAGATACCACTATCATTTTTTCCTTTCATTTTTGAACTTAAATTAGTTCAGTTTATCTTTTTTTTTTGACACAGGTTTCTGTAGTCATAGCTAGCCTTGAACTGGTGACAGTTCTTCTAATGCTGGGAGTACTGGTGTGAGCAACTGTACCTGGCTTTAAAAAAAATACTTATTTAAGCTGGGTGGTGGTGGCACACACCTTTAATATCTGATTGTATGTACATCTGCGCACCATATGCACACAGGAGTCTGCAGATGTCAGAAGAGGTCTTGGATTCCCTGCAATTGTAGACAGATTTAAATGTGAGATTCCATTTGGGTGCTGGGAATGAAACACGAGGCCTCTGCAAGAGCAAAAAGTGCTCTTAACTATTGAACAATCCTGGATTTTTGTTTTAAAAGTTCCTTTTTGATTACTTTTTAAATATCAGAGTTTAAAGAAACAAAGCAAGAATATTTGAAAAGACATGTATTAAGTTAAATAATTATTTCTTAGTGAGGCTAGTCTTGCTCAATATGAGTGCGCTTGGGCATATTTATGTAGTCTAGGTACACACATTGGCATTAATTTGTTGAGCCTGAGTTTCTTTTTACTACTCTGTGAGAACAAATCATTGATAACAGAGAGCAGATCAAAACAATGCAACTTCCTTTGCTAGTCCTCAAATCAGAACTCTAGACTCTGCCCAGTCACTTTACTGGTTTGTGGAAAACATTGCAAATATCTGTTGGTTTGTTTTGTAAGCTTATTCAAACTATCAAGTGGAGTATTATGTATAAACCGACTCAGTCAATTAAATCTCTGTATCTGAAACTGTATATATAAGAGATTTGTATTGATTGATGAGAGCAAATACTATCTATTTTTCCTGGACAGAACAATCTTTCATGTATCTGTCACCCAAAAGACCAAAAGACCCCTGCTGTTCATATTGGGAAGAAGTTGCTTTGATAGTAAAATAATATGATCCCCTCTCCCCCGATAAATGGTATGTGTGGTACAGTTAAGCAGTTTCTTTGAAGGGAATGTTTCATTGTCTTAATTAGACATCATCTGGGAAAACCTTTTCAAAGAAAATATTTCCTAATAATAAAATGCTCTTTGGTTCTCAAGGTGTTTTTTTTTTTTTTTCTGGTTAGGTGTTTTTTGCGTGTTGTTAGTGACAGAGTAAAACAATGCTGACTCACTGTCATTCATGTATTTTAAACATTCTATGGAATTAGTGTGCCTTTTGAAAGATACTTTAGCAATATTTTTTTTCTTGGATTTTATACTAATGATGGTCTTCATGTATAATAATTTAGAATTAGGCTGATATGCATATATATGGTTATTTACCTACCACCTTTAATGCATAATTGATGAAAATGTTATTATATACTGTCCAAATGGTTGATAGATGCTTACACTATATTTATTTTCTCTAGTTAAGAAAATGGTGAGTATAGAAAGTTACAGACTTGCAAAATGGGAGAGAAGGATATCACAGTGTAGTGCTTTGGTCTAATTACATTTCCATTTTCACTTTTTAGGTAAGCAGAATTTTATATAGTTTCTGTACTGCATTCAAACGTTCTTCCAGACATGTGTCTGATGTTAAAGATTCAATCATCCCAACCCCGGACAGTGATGTGTTTACCTTTAGTGTCTCCTTGGAGGTAAAAGAAGATGATGGAAAAGGAAACTTTAGGTGAGAATAACTGAAGAGAATAATCTGAAAAGAAAGTTAACATTGTACCTAAAATGCAGTATTCACTAGCATGTTTTCTAGACACTAGATTGTGTTTGTATAAAGCTTTAGGTAGGTCAAGAAATATTTGACTGGTGAATGATTATAGTTAACTGTTCTCACACGTCTTAGATGAGCAAACAATTTTCTTAATGATTAAAAGAATCTGACGTTGTAGAACATTATAATCATAAAAAACGGCATAGACTGTACTTTTGTCAGCTATGGAGAATCGCTTTTTGTTGAAAGTGTTAAATTTGTTCTTCATATACTTATTTGATTTTTTTTTTGAAATGAGGTCTCATTGTAGCATGGGCTGGGCTTCAACGATGTGTAACTGAAGCTATTCTTGAACTCCTGATTTCCCTGAATTTACCCCCTGAGTGCTGGGATTATAAATGTGTCACTCCCCACCCCCAGCTAGTTAATTTTTCTCCTTTGTTGTATTTGTAGGGAAAAATTTACAGCTATTTATATACAATTGTTCTCCTTCAAAATAATTTTTCATTAAATTATTTTTTAAAATAAAATCTTTAAAAAGATGTATACACATTTTTTTGAGTGTATGATTATTTTACCTGTGTGTATGTTTAGAAAATGTATGTGCCTGGTACCTGTAGAGGTCAGAAGAGGGCACTGGATCCTGTGGGACTGAAATTACAGATGGTTGTGAGCTGCCATGTAAGAATTGAACCCACATCCTTTGCAAGAGCAACAAGTGCTCTTACCTGCTTATCTAGCCCTCTATCCCCTTATTGAAATATTCTTCACCAAAATTATCCAAAATTATTTTTAGTGGTTGTGGTTAATATATTATATGGTTTGACCATCATTTAACCATTTCTTTCTATTTTATATGGTGGTTTTTAAAAAAGAATTATTTATTTATTATGTTTACAGTGTTCTGCTTACAGGAAGAAGAGGGCGCCAGCTCTCATTACAGATGGTTGTGTGCCAACATGTGGTTTCTGGGAATTGAATTCAGGACCTCTGGAAAAGCAGCCAGTGCTCTTAACCTCTGAGCCATCTCTCCAGCTCCCTTAACCACTTCTTTCTATTATACATTATAGTGTTTTTTTTTTAATCCAGTTCAGGTGATCACTTAATAGGAAGTAATAATCACCTATATACCTTAACAGTCTTTTTAATTTTTTGAGACAGAGTTTCTCTATATAACCCTTGACTGGTCTTCAACTCAAACTTATAGAGATTGGCCTGCCCCTGCCTCCCAAGTGCTGGGATTAAAGATGTGCACTACCATATCTGGCCACTAGTGTCTTTAATTATAACAGTAATTGCTAGATAGTTATTTGTATTTTTATCGATAAAAATGAATGTCAGATTGAAGCTAGAAGCATTTATATTTTTCTGACAAGACAAGCTGTATTTTAAGTTTTATTTGTTCATTACTAGAATATCTACTTTATATTTTATTAGACTTTGATTAACTTGCTATGTATGATCTGTGTTTTTTTGGCCATCCTTTATCTATATATACTTGTATATGTAAAACTAGTTGTTATGTGAAGTTTCTGGCCCCACTGGTCCTGCCACCGTTCCCTGCCCCAAAGAAACATGCAGACCCTATATTAGTTAAAGTTGTTGGGTTCCTTATTTTTAACTCATAACTACTAATCTATGTATTTCCACGTGGTCTTGGTTTACTGGGAACGCCAGACCTGCAACTCCTTTGCCTGCTACATCCCCACAGAGAAGAGGATGATTTCCTGTTTGTCCTTGCTTGTGTTTTGATTCTGCCCAGCTACGCCACTTCCTGCCTGACTGTACAGACCTCCAGACCTCTATGGTTAGCTAGTGGCAGTTTCTGCCCAGTTACATCACTTCCTGGGATCACATGATGACTCCTTTCTGCCTAACTTCCCAGAATCCTCCTCATATGCTAGTCCCACCTATCTTGCTCCCCCATTGGCCAACAGTGTTTTATTCATCAACCAATAAGACAAACATATACTCAGAAGAACATTCTCAGCAAGTATCCTTAAATTCTTGGTGTTTACAAGAGTAAGGTGTTCATTACAGGATTTTTTCTTGGTTTAATTATGATACATGTGCTCATGACCACCCAGCAATTGAACTAGAATGTGACAGTCTTTAACAGTTAAATAAGCAATGTTTGAAAACTTGTTATGATTTAAAAGCTGAAATTGAAGTTATACCATATTGTCATAGTTTTAGATACTTCATTTAACCTTGATTGAGAGATAAAAATACAAGGCTTCTGTAATCCATGTTCAAAATTTCTAGAAGTTTTATATTGCTGGCTATAAAATTTACTGTTTTTTGCCTGTTGTGAGGTGAGATTCAGTATGACTTAAGAGTATAGTATTCTTGCTGGGTGATGGTGGTGCACACCTGTAATTCCCAACATTTGTGAGGCAGAGGCAGGCAGATCTCTTAAGGTCTAGGCCAGCTTGGTTTATACAGTGAGTTTCAGGACAGCCATTGGTACACAGGGAAACCCTGTCTGGAGATATAAACAAACAAAGCAATAAAAAAAGAATATAGTGTTCTTGACTTAATACTTTATTGTTTTGTTCTCATTTTAGAATGTATTATTTTATTCTACTATTATAGTGCTAATTTTTGTTCCTTTTGATTATTTCAGTCCTGTGCCTAAGGATAGAGATAAATTTTACTTCAAAATAAAGCAAGGAGTAGAGAAGAAGGTTGTGATTACAGTTCAGCAACTTTCTAATAAAGAATTAGCTATTGAGAGGTAAGCAGCTTGTTCTTATATCATAGCTCAGAATGGGATTGCCATTGTTAATGTGTTTCAGATGCTTGGTATTGAATCTCAGCTGTACTGCTCACTGAGGCTTTTCAATGTATCTTGTTTCTGTCTTTCTCCTCCCACTTCTCCCTCCCTCTTATCTCCTACTGCCTCTATAGAGCTCTTCTCACTCTTTAGACCCTTTTTGTTCATATTATTATTATTTTTTGATTAACACTTATTTACATTGAGGGAAATCAGCTATTTTTATTTTGTATCTTCTAAAGTTTCTGAAATTCCAGTGACTTAATGGAAAAATGTGTGTGTATCCATCCATAGGAATCCTTTTAAGTAAATGAATGTTTCAGAGGGCCAAATAATTGTGTATAAAGTCATTAACATAATCATTCCTCCGAAATGGCAGCTATTATTTATAATGTAATATTTTTAGTGGTTGACAGAAAACAAAGAAAAAAATGGACAAGAATACAAATAGAGAAATTTCTGGAAAGTTATTCAGATGGTTAACAAACACATCTAAACTCTCAATTTACGAATAAATAAGATGCAAATTAAAGAAACATGATATCCAATTACAATAGGAAGTAAAGGTGGGGATATGAGAAAAACGATATTCTTATATTGTTAATGGAATTATCAAGTGTAGCATACATTAAAAAAAAAAAAAGCAAACCATGCCAGGCAGTGGGGCATACTCCTTTAATCCCAGCACTTGGGAGGCAGAGGCAGGTGGGTTGCTGAGTTTGAGGCCAGGCTGGTATACAGAGTGAGTTCCAGGACAGCCAGAGCCATGCAGAGAAACTCTTGTTTCGAAACAAACAAACAAAAACCCAAGACAAAACAAAAAACAAAAACAAAAATAATCCCCTCCAAACTCCACAACAAAATAAAAATAAAAACCAAAAAACTAAACCAGTTTGGTAATACAGTAATAAAAAAGACCTAAAGTTGGATATAGGAGTTTCATTCTCAGGGAAATTATAGTATTGACTACCACTGTCCATGGATATATATCTGTTTTATATTTGTGTGTGTGCATATGAACATATGTGTATGTGTGCAGAGGCCACAGTCTCAGGTGTTGTTCCTCTTCAGGTGCTGTCTACCTTTGTCTTTGAGACAGGGTCTCTCATTGGCCGGGAGCTTGTTGGTTAGGCTAGGATAGCTGACCAGTTATCCCTAAGGATCTGCCTCTCTCCATCTCCCCAGGCTTTGTATTATTGATACACATTACCAAACTTTCTTTTTTTAATTTTTGAAATGATTTATTTTTATTATATTTCATACGCATTAGTGTTGTGCTTGCATGTATATCTCTATAGGGGTGTTGGATCCCCTGGAACTAGAGCTACATATTTTGATTTGCATTTCCCTAATGGCTAGGGATGTTGATCACTTTCTTAAATGTCTCTCAGTCATTTAAACTCCTCTATTGAGAATTCTCTATTTAGTTCTGTACCTAAACATAATAAAAGCTATATACAGCAAACCAACAGCCAACATCAAATTAAATGGAGAGAAACTCAATGTGATTCCTCTAAAATCAGGAACAAGGCAAGGCTGCCCACTCTCTCCATACCTCTTCAATATTGTACTTGAAGTTCTAGCCAGAGCAATAAAACAAGAAAAGGAGATCAAGGGGATGCAAATTGGAAAAGAAAAGGTCAAACTTTCACTATTTGCAGATGATATAGTTTATATAAGTGACCCTAAAACTCTACCAGGGAACTCCTACAGCTGATAAATACCTTCAGCAAAGTGGCAGAATACAAGACCAACTCAAGAAAATCAGTAGCCCTTGTTTTTCTCCTCCTTTTCCAAATGGTTCCCCTTATACTTTCATGCCACTCCCACTATAGTTACATTTTTCTATAGATGACATATTTTTTATGTTTGAATAAGACTCCATTATGTATATTTTCTTTATCTATTCATCCATTACAGGAACTGACGCTTTTCTATGATGTGGTTGTTAGGAGTAGTGTTGCAGTAAGTAAGCATGGATATGCAGGTATCTCTATTGTGTGTTGACTTTGAGTCCTTTCTGATTCTATACTAGAGTGGTACTATAGGAGCAGATTGTAGTTCTGTTTCTAGTTTTGTGAGGCGCTGCCATAGTGATTTCCATAATGACTGCACTAATTTGCATCCCTAAATGTGAATGAGGATTTTACTCCTCAACCCTCTCTTCCTCACCAGCATTTGCTTCTTGTCTTCTTGATGTTAGCCATTCATTTTAGCTGATTGAGATGAGTCTCAGTGTAGCTTTTAATTTGTATTTACTTGATACCTAAAGAATGCTAATTGTGCCGGGTGGTGGTGGTGCACGCCTTTAATCCCAGCACTCGGGAGGCAGAGGCAAGCAGATCTCTGTGAGTTCGAGGCCGGGCTGGACCGATAGCCTCCGAAACAATACAGTGAAACCCTGTCTCGAAAAAACCAAAAAAAAAAAAAAAAAAAAAAAAGAATGCTAATTGTTTTTTCATGAATTTATTGGTCATTTGTACTTCCTTTGAGGACTATTCAGTTCCTTTGCTCATTCATTTATTGGATTACTTGTTCTGTTTTTTAAGTTTTAATTTTTATATGTTTTAAAAAAGGAATCACTTAACAGATGGATAGCTGGTGAAACTTTGTCCCTTTCTGTGGGTGTCTCTTCACACCAATGCTTTTCACTTTGTTAATTTTTGCTATTATATTCTAGCCTGTCAGAGTTCTATTGAGAAAGTCATTGCCTAGTCTCATATTTTCTTCATTTTTTCCCCCTAATAGCTCAAAATTATAAGCTCTTTGATCCATTTAGAGTTGATTTTTCTACCAGGGGGGATAACTATCTTGATGATAATCTCATACTTTCAACTATGGGTTATATTTAGCAATGGTTAATAAATTCATGCTAAAGTATTCGGTTCCTTTTTTCCATCTTTTTTTGTTAGATGATTTCTGTAGTATGAAAATGGAGTTAACTTGGGATTGCTTTAGGCCTGCCCAAACAATTCTTCCTTTGACAGAGTTAATTATCTGTGATATGGGAGATTTTGCAAATACTTAGTTTAATCTGGCTTGAAAAGAAACAAACCTTGTCTTTTATTATGCTAAATGTATTTAATGTCTTTAAATCAAAAACTGTAAATGGTGGGATTTAATTATCCAGTAGGTGGCAGTCTCATCTAGAAAATTCTTAACACTTGAATCTTTACTACACAGCTACTAACGTTATTTTGTAGTAGAAAGACAGTTGGTGTGGAAAGTATATATTTCAGATTACATAATTTGAGCATGTCTTGTCAAGGAGAAAATAAAATTTATTTAAAAAATAAATATATGAAAAGTAAAAATATAAAATTTCCATCACACCCCAAAGTAGAAAGAATAATACATTGAACCCTAGGTACACTCAGCACCCATCTGGATTCTAGTTATTAGTTTCTTTTTGAAAGACTTCATTTTTTTATTAGGAAATAAGTCTCTTCTTTATTTCTTTGAACTCAAGGGCACCTCATATATATTTCATATGTTGATATTGATATACCACAGTTGTCTCTCTCAACCCTTATCAGAAAGTACTGTGGCACAGTGCTCGAGACACTTATTTAACACTTTTTCCTTTGAGTACTGTTTTAGGCATTGTGACCTATGAGTGAGTGTAGGTACTACTGTGTTGTTTCAGAGTTGAAAAAAGAGAGGCATGGAGGTTTAATACTTTACCTGTGGACAGATAGTTTTGAGTTAAGTTTATTACTAGAATTCGTGTTTCTATTTTTCACTTCTGTTTACAAATTCAGATGAATGAAGTTTATAAAATTTTTATTCCCTAAACTCTATTGATATATAAAATATATTATTTAACCCTGTATTAATAAAATACTTAAAAGAAAGAGATATGAGAACTGTTCCCTGTCTCAACAATTTCTACTATTTTTTTCCTTTTCTGACTTGCTCATGTTAGGTGTGACATATAAAGCTTTAAGAACTGGACACAAAATAGAGAACACTAACAGTAATTGTTGTATTTGTGCTTAATTTTTGATAGCCATTAGACAATTTAGTTGTGTTGACAGCACCTGAGGAAGAAAGATGCTATTATGAGTACTATATTTGTGTAGGTGATGGAGCAAAGGCTTAACAGTAGTAATGCAGGTCACTAGAGCTAGGATTTAACTGATGCCATCTGATTTGCAAGTATTTGTATTCTTAAGAATGGAATGTAATTAGATCTTGATTACATACTTGGCTTAAAATTAATCAAAGAAATGAGAAGATAAATTGGTCATCTTTGGTGAATTCAGAACAAATTGAAAGTGAGATCATAAATGTTGGGGCACCCAAATAATCTTTTAGTGACTTCAAATCTACCATGCTCTGAGAGAAAAGCCGAGTGATTTATGGAACAGACTAGCAATAACAACTCTGATGGGAAAAACAAGGTGATTGTTGACTTTTATGAGGTACTGAAGGACTGCATGTTAAAATACAGTCATCAGTGATAAAGCCAAGCTCTTCCATTGCTTCCAAAGCAGAAAAGATCATTTCTGATCATGATCAGCTGACCCCTGTATTTTCTTTCTCCATCCATTCATTAGTGGACACATAGGCAGATTATATATTTGGTTATAGTTAATAGTAGACTCGAATGTGCAGGTATCTCTGTTGTGTGTTGACTTAGTTTTCTTCCCCCTGTATATACTCAGGAGTGGTGTAGTTGGATCAGATGGTAGTTTTAGTGAGTAATCACACTGATTTGCATAGTGGCTGTGCTAATTTGATTTCCCACCAACAGAATATGGGATTTATTTCTCCCTCTGCATTCTTCCTAGCATTTGCTGTTTGATTTCTTCATAATAACCATCTGGCTAGAGTGAGATGGAATCTCAATTTATTGTTGATTTGCATTTCCATAATAACTAAGTATGTTGAACATTTTTCATGTAATTATTGGTTATTTGCACTGCTCAATTCATTTTCCAATTTATTGTTTGGGTTAT